TTTTCTCAGTAAAAATTTTTTTACAAATGCTTGTTCTAAAAAATGTACAATTTAAAGGAGTTTTTAAACTTAAGTAATTATCCGTTTCTTAAATGCTGAACATTTTGCTTACTTCTATATTTTTTTGCTCTCCTGAAAAATGCTTTCATATAAAGTCCTCAAATTTATATTTTTATCTATATTTGTGTTTATTTACTTAAGATGGTTTCTTAGGAGTTTTGCCAAGTAAAGGGTATGTACATTTTTAATCCTCTTGCCACACTCAGCCAGGCAGCCCATCAGAAAAGCTGTAGCAGCTTAAACTCCGAGATGGTTTAAAATTCAAGTTGTTGGCTGGGCGCGGTGGCTCACACCTGTAATCCCAGCACTTTGGGAGGCCGAGGTGGGTGGATCACAAGGTCAGGAGTTCGAGACCAGCCTGTCCAATACGGTGAAACCCCCAACTCTACTGAAAAAAAAAAAAAAAAAAAAACCACGAAAATTAGCTGGGCGTGGTGGTACATGCCTGTAGTCCCAGCTACTTGGGAGGCTGAGGCAGGAGAATCACTTGAAGCTGGGAGGTGGAGGTTGCAGTGAGCCAAGATCGTGCCACTGCACTCCAGCCTGGGTAACGGAGCAAGACTTCGTCTCAAAATAAAAAATTTAAAAGATGAATAAAAATAAATAAAAACCTTTTTAAAAAATCATGTTATTTGCCTTCCTGCTCACTCCCATGAGGAGCCCAAGACAGGACTACATTGCCAGAGTGCTCTGCTCTGTTACTTGGGAGAACGGACGATGAGGGCTGCCCAATGTGCACTTTCTAACGGTGCCCCAGTTTCCTTTTGGTGAGTTGTCTTTGCCCCTTGTGTAGTCTTGATGGGGCTTCAGAGTGGCAAAGGTCTCTGGGGTCGGGGAGAGGATGGCAAACAGTGTGGCCTGCGGTGAAGCCAGCAGCAGGGGCATCAGCCCCCAGCAAGGCTCTCCCCGGCTGCCGGGCGGAGGGGGGCAGGCCCTGTGCTCTGCAGTCCTGGAGAGGGCCTGGGAGCCCTCTATGCAGAAGGCTCATCCCCAGCCTGAGGGCCTTCCTCTGCCAGGGGGCCCGCCAGTGCAGGAGACTTCAGATAATCCCTTGGTCCTCCCTTTCCTTCCCTTAATCCCAAATCTGGCGTGGAGAAGGCACTTCATCCCAGAGAAGGTGACCAGAGCATGTCTGTCGAAATGACCTTGGAGGGTAACCGACAAGGCTTTAACAAGCACCATCTAACTATCTCCTTTGGCTTTTTTCACCCCGGAAAACCCCTTGGAAAAATCACCTGGGATGAGGCCGGAGCGATCCTTTCTCATGCTGGACTCATCCTGCCATCTAGTGGAGGGAGAAGGGAGACGGGAAGGGATGGGACACCTGGCAGCCGGGAGGTTGGAGCTTGATGAACCTGCAGTGCCTGAGGCCAAGGTCAAGAGACACCCGGAACAGCCCATTGGGTACCTCAGAACTTGGGGAGGCATAAGAAGGAGGCAAGGGCAGGAATTATGCTCAAGAATAATTACAGCTGTTTCTTGAGCACTGACGACCTGGCAAAGACTATACAAAGTGCCTCTCGGGTTTTCAATCTTTTAGTCCTTCCAGCAGTCCCGCTGAGGATGGGGAGAACAGGCCCAGAAATCAAGTAACTTGACCAAGTTCACACACCTTGTCAGTGGCAGAGGCAATCAAATCCAGGATTATCTGACTTTGTAGCTTGGGTTTCTACGGTCATTTCTAGAATCACAGAGAGAGATCTCCATCCTTTCCATTCCATCACCCACACCCCCAACCCTAATCTACCCCTGGACAACAGAGGGCGCTCTTGTTCACTGAGACGCACAGCCCCATTTCCACCCTCTGTGCCTCTCTTGGGTCCCCACGTCTCTACCCTGAACGCAGAGGGAATCCGTTCCCTCCCTTGGCCTGAAGACTGCTGGGCAGGAGTGGGAGAGGATAGTGGTGGAATCTTTTGTCCACTGTCAACAAATATTGAAATGTCTCAGACTAATTTGAAGTTCTTTTCCTTTCTTTGGTATGTGAGATTGACGTCCCTCAAGGGCACAGTCTCATTTCAGAGCAGCCACTGTAAAGTTTGGTTCTAAATCCTGGAAGGATTTTTCATGCTTTCCAGAAACAATTGGGGCTGGTCCATGGCTATGCAGCCCTGGCCTGTCTCAGTCTTTTTTTCTTCTCTTTCTTTCTTTTTAAGAGACAGGGAAAAGCAGGCATGGTGGCTCACGCCTGTAATCCCAACACTGGGAGGCCGAGGCAGGCAGATCGCTTGAAGCCAGAAGTTTGAGACCAGTTTGGGTAACATAGCTGGACACCATCTCTACAAAAATACAAAAAAAAAAAAAAAAAAAAAAATCAGCCAGGCATGGTACTGTGCACCTGTAGTCCCAGCTACTCAGGAAGTTGAGGCAGGAGGATCACTTGAGCCCAGAACTTTGAGGCTGCAGTGAGCTGTGATCACACCACTGCACTCCAGCCTGGGTGACAGTGTGAGACCCTGTCTCAAAAAATAAAACATAAAAAAAGAGACAAGGAAGGTCTCACTCTGTCTGGAGTGCAGTGGTGTGATCACAGGTCACTGCAGCCTCAAACTTCTGGGCTCAGGCGATCCTCCTGCCTCAACCTCCCAAGTAGCTGGAACTACAGGCACACACTACTATGCCTGGCTAATTTTGTTACTTTTTTGTAGAGACAGGGTCTGGCTATGTTGTCCAGGCCAGTCTCAAATTCCTGGAGTCAAGCGATCCTCCCACCTTGGCCTCCCAAGTGCTGTGACTGCAGGCATGAGCCACCATGCCCAGCCATCCCAGTCTTAAAGAACCAACCTGCCATCCCAGAAAACACACAAAAAGTCCAGGGGGTCTTTGGGCCTGTAGTCACTCTCCACATGGGGGACCCTGTGGTTTATTTAGGGAACAGCAGTCATTCTTCCTGTCTGGCCCACGCAGACGAGTAGTAAGTCACCTATTTTTAGTTAAGGGTTTTGTTTTTCTTTTTCTTTTCCTTTTTAGAAATTTATCCAGGCCCACTTCCCAGGGCTGAGCACTTAAGTTTCACTGACTTTATTGCTGGGGGCTTGGTACTTTGAATAGGAGAGTGGTCCTCAAATGCGCTTCATCTGTATTTCCCCCCAGAATCAAAGTTCATCTGCAACAATTTCAACATCATTTATTCAACACTTATCCCTTGGAGCTCCAAAAGACAAAAAAAGGCTGGCTTTTGCCATCACCAAGCCTCCCTCTCCTGAGTGAGATTCCAGGCCAACAGCTTTCACACAGACACCACCATCTCTGCCCTTGCTCAAGTGCTTCTATCATCACACGTAGGATAGTGGGGGATCCTCCCTTCCCAGAAGTGGACAATCCCTCACCCTTAAAAAGTATCAGTTACTAGCCGGGCATGGTGGTGAGTGCCTGTAATCCCAGCTACTCAGGAGGCTGAGGCAGAAGAATCTCTTGAAACCGGGAGGCAGAGGTTGCAGTGAGCCGAAATCACGCCACTGCACTCCAGCCTGGCAACAGAGCCAGACTCCGTCTCAAAAAAAAGTATAGGTTACTAGTTCTTACCACACCCCTCAACACACAAGACCAATGCACCTGTTTATTTACTTATTTAGAGACAGGTTCTTACTCTGTCACCCAGGCTGGAATGCAGTGGTATAATCACAGCTCACTGCAGCCTCAACTTCCCAGGCTCGGGTGATTCTCCAACCTCCGCCTCCCAAGTAGCTGGGACCACAGGACTGTGGCCTGGCTAATTTTTTTTCTTCCAGAGACAGGGTCTCACCATGTTGCCCAGGCTAGTCTTAAAATCCTGGGCTCAAGAGATGCACCCGCTTCAGCCTCCCCCAAAGTCCTGGGATTACAGGTGTGAGCTACTGTGCCTGGCCACTCCTTTCTTGTAACGATAGAGTCAGTTAACAATTTACTTATTTAATCAATCAACATTTATTGATTACTTATTAGGTAGCAGGCACCGGGATAAAGATGAGTGTAAGTTACTCACAGTAAGAAAGAAAACTAGCAAGTAAGAGGATTACAATACGATATAGAAATGCCAAGCCAGATATATAGAAAGGTCCTATGGGGCCCTTCTGCCACCTTCTCTTTCCACATTCCTGCCCTTCACAGGCCCTACCTCCAGCTTCCTGCCCCACCCATTCCCCCAGCAGATCCTCTGGATTTTGCCCTGAGCTACATGGGGAGATGGCCTTACTGGGCCTGGCATGACTCAAACCCAACCACACACTGGAAGGAGACTTCGGAGAGTGGACCACTGTGATAAGAAAACACACAGGAGCCATATGCCGTGGTTCACACCTGTAATCCCAACACTTTGGGAGGCCGAGGCGGGTGGATCACCTGAGTTCAAGACCAGCCTGGCCAACATGGAGAAACCATGTCTTTACTAAAAATACAAAATTAGCTGTGCATGGTGGCACATGCCTATAATCCCAGCTACTCGGGAGGCTGAGGCAGAATGGCTTGAACCCGGATGACGCTGAGCCGAGATCATACCATTGCACTCCAGCCTGGGCAACAAGAGTGAAACTCCGTTTCAAAAAAAGATAAAAGAAAACACATAGGAATGAAGTGAAGTCCACAAACATGCCACCAGTGCTGGTGCTCAAGAAAAGTTTGCGGAATGGATAAATGAAGGGTAGAGGGATTAATAGATGAATATTTGAATGATGGCTCAATAAGTGACGTCATGAATGACTCAGAGAATAAACTTCCAATCTTGAAGCTAAACCAAATTCTAGCATTTCCAGTGCTTGTGCTTGTTCGTTGAACACCATGTTCCCCAGAAAACTCTCTACAAAGATGTTCGTTTTTTAAAATTAAAATGACTTAAAAGTTCACTGGGAATTTTGCGATGCAGTTGAGAAAACTGGAGTTGCCCAGGGGAGTTTCAGCGCTAGGGGTTGAAATCACTCACCCAGGAGAAATCCCAGTATAATCTGTCCACCCCTTAGCGTTAGGAGAGAAGCTCCAAGTTCCTCAGGCCAGAGTCCTTTGAGGGCACTTGGCTCTTTGGGAGAGAGAGAGCTACAGAAAGTTATTTAAACTTGAGGCTTCTCATTTTACCAAACAGGCGTACCACCCTGATCACTAACTAGCAAGTTAAATGTGAATCAAAGTATTGTGTCCCATCACCAATGCTGTGCTTCCTACTGAAGAGAGGACTGCAGGAAATCCTTTGGTGTTATAAACAAGTGCATTCCAACATGTTCTGTCGCTGTGAATGTGCTGTGAAGCGGAAAAGGGTCAGAGAGGAAGGAGGCTGTGTGGTTGGTTCCGAGGCCTATCTGAACAGCTGCTTTGCTACAGGTCTTTGAAGGCGCCCTGGTTCTCTGACATAAACTGGCTGAAGCTTTTGACTTTGGGATTTAGTCGGTGGGTGAGCTTGACATCTCGGTCGGGCTTCATCTGATAGAAACGACACATATTGGCTACTTCTTTTGCTGAAAGGAATCCCAGCTTCTCATAAGCTTCCGGGGTAATCTTTTAAGAACAAATAAAAAGACAGAAAATGTTATTGTCCGTACTTAAAATAGTTTGAAATGACATTATTCACCTTAATGATGATACAGGTCCATAATTCTTTTTTTTTTTGAGATGGAATCTTGCTCTATCACCCAGGCTGGAGTGGAATGGCACGATCTTGGCTCACTGCAACCTCTGCCTCCCGGGTTCAAGCAATTTTCCCTGCCTCAACCTCCCAAGTAGCTGGGATTACAGGTACCTGCCCCCATGCCTGGCTAATTTTTGTATTTTTAGTAGGGACGGGGTTTCATCATGTTGGCTGGGCTGGTCTCAAACTCCTGACCTCAGGTGATCCACTCGCCTCTGCCTCCCAAAGTGCTGGGATTACAGGTGTGAGCCACTGTGCCCAACCAAGTCCACAATTCTTTAGCCTAACTCCAAAATCCAAGAGACTCTAAAGCTTTTTTTTTTCCCCATAAGCCATTTGGCAGCAAACTGATCTTTTTGAACTAATTTGGTGGCAAGCCTAATCTAACTATGTGAAGCTATTTATGCTCTTTAATTATACCATTTAGTGGAAACATTCAAATATTTTCCTGCAGAGATACAGCTGTGTTTGATTACAGGTTCCTGCTCCAGCCCCTGCTTGTGATGTTATATAATATATGTAGACAATAACCTATCTAAAAGCTGAAAGGTTCTGAAAGCTGAATTGTTTCTGGCCCCAAGCCTTTTGGATAAGGTACTGTAGATCCAGCCTTCGTGTGAACAGCTCCTCACAGTGTTTTTGTCTATACCTCCTCTTGGTATTCCCTCACCAGCCCTCTGAAACCGACCACCCACCTGGCCCTCCATGCAGCGTCAAGATCGCCCCTCTTGGCCGGCGCGGTGGCTCACGCCTGTAATCCCAACACACTGAGAGGCCAAAAAGGGCAGATCACGAGGTCAGATTGAGACCAGCCTGGCCAACATGGTGAAACCCCATCTCTACTAAAAACAAAATACAAACAAATTAGCTGGGCGTGGTGGCACACGCCTGTAATCCCAGCTACTTGGGAGGCTGAGACAGGAGAATCACTTGAACCCGGGAGGCAGAGGTTGCAGTGAGCAGAGATTGCGCCCCTGCACTCCAGCCTGGGCGACAGAGGGAGACTCTGTCTCAAAAAAAAAAAGATCCACCCTCGCTGGCACCAGGCTCTCCTCACCTGGCTGACGGCCCATCCATCCTCGCAGCCCTTCTGGGTTAGAGGTCTGTATTTTCCCTCCAATTGCCCCAACCTTTGCCAAGGCCAGGCCCAGGCAGAAATGGAACCCATCCCACACCAACTGAGCTGCCTTCTGTCATCTTCCATAAAATCAACGCCTTGAACCCTTTCTAACACTAACTGGATCTATAATTCCCCCTACTGAATTAGCAAAACTCATTTCTATCAGATCTAGTATAAGCTGTCTTTAGCCCTCAGAGATAAACTCTGACATTGCAATTCTACGTGGCCTTTAAAAAAAGTGACAGACACAAACAACTTAGGTAAAACAATGGTTGTCACACAGCATTCCTAACAATGGGAAAATTAAAAACAACCAATATGGCCAACAATAGAGAAATGATAAAATTAATTGTGGTACCTCTACCGTCAGAACATAATGTGGTATAACGTTTTTGAAGAAGTTTAACAAAACAGAAAAATGTTCATAACATTAACTGAAAAGGCCAGAAACAAAATGGTACATTTAGTGTTATTTTAATTGTATTAAATATATATACGTATATATTAATACAATTTAGTAATTGTATTAATATATGCGTATATATATAAATTTATATATATGTATATATGTAATGCAATCACTAAGTTGCATAATTGTATAATACAATTACTAAGTTGTATTATATATATACACGCTTATATATACTGGAAAAAGACACAAGAACCTGTCAAATCTTAACAGTAGCTACCTGGGCGCCCGAGGTGAGCAGGAAGGAGACAGCCGCCCAGCAGCTGGGGGCCGGCGTGGCAGAGTGAGCGGGGCCGGGGACGCCGAGGCCTCGGGCGGGGGCCGGCCGGGGTTCCAGGTAATGAGTGAGTACACACTGTGTGCACTCGGATACAGCAGTGAATAAAAGGACAAAAGGCCTTGAAGAGGAAAAAGAAAGCTACTGCTTGCGGAGGATTACACGGGGTTCTGGTGGGGGCTGCAGGCCAAGCAGAACGAGGCGGCCACCGAGGCCAGGGCACGACCCTGTGCGGGACAGGCCCAAGCGGGACCTGTTCCAGTCCAGCAGGACGGTGGAGGGTGGCTTCCCGCACCCGCCCAGTACCCTCGGCTACAACCCATCTCTGCGCATCCTGCCCATTGGCCCCCGTTCTGGAGCCATCAAGCTGTATCCTCCATCCCCTCACTCCCAACTGGACAGGGCCTTGGGGTGGATGACATTTGGGGAAGGACATCTTTTCCCTCCTTGCCCAGAGCTGCTGGGATAAAATGAGGGACTTTCCTGAATTTCCAGCTTTGGACATGATTTTATTCCAAAGTGTGGAAGGTATGGTTTATGGCAGGACGGGGACCTGGGCATGGCAGGATGTGACCCTGTTCTTTGCAGGAGGACAGTGAGTTTGAAACTGACCAAGGAGGTATAGGTTTGTTTCATCCCCTGTGTCTTTTCAGGGCCGTTCCCCTTCTCACCTGTCGCTAGAAGTTTCAGGACTCCCTGGGCAGGGGGCAAGGCCACTATGGGAATCAGGGACCTGTTTTGCAGGGGCTGTGTTGGGGGATCCAGGGGGAAGGACGTGTTGCCAGTCTCAGCCATTGCTCAGTAAATGAGTGGCTGGCTGGTGGGTCAGTAGCAAGGCCTGGCCCTTCTGTGCCCCTGCCTCCCTCAGCTCCCCATCTCCCCACCAGAAAAGCAAGTTACAGGGACCTGTCTTGTCGCTGGGGATGTTTGTAATTTTAAAAAATTCTTTTTCAGCACTTTGGGAGGGTGAATCACTTAAAGTCAGGAGTTCAAGACCAGCCTGGTCAACATGGTGAAACCCCGTCTCTATTAAAAATACAAAAAAGAAAGAAAAAAAAATAGCTATCTCTGTGAGATTGAACTGTGTGTGATTTGTATCTTCTTTTCTATAATTTTCTGAGTTTTCTTCAATAAGCATTTGCTATTTTTGAAATCAGAGAAACAGTGAAAACTTGAAGTGAGTTTGGAACTAGAAGTCCGTGGGAGAAGCATGGACAATTCTTCCATAAGTGTCCCCTCGAGTCACTCTTTCATCCCTAACTTTGATACCAAAGATGCTTTAGTAGAATAAGGGAATATTTTCTGCAGCTTTTTGAAGGAAAGAGATCTGTTCTGCTGTGTCTCACTTTCTGGGAAAACCATCTTCCTTTGGGGGTTAGACAGTGGGAGGAAGTCAGACTGTGTGGGCTGGAGTGCCACCTTGTGGCCAGATGCACCCTTCCCCAGAATTGTCGGACCCTTTTATAGACGTTCCAGCCTCTGATGCCCTATAGCTTTTGGTGCTGGAGAAGCTTCAGCTGCATTATAAAACAATTTGTATACCCAGAAGAGTCAGGGACCAAGTATGTGACTAACAGATGCTTGGAAGGTTCTGAGCAATTCAGAACAATGTCTGCCGCATCCTCTGAGAATCAATACACACACTCATCCCCTGTACCCACTCTCTCTTTCTCTCCTTCCTTACAGAGTTCAAACCCACAGGACAAAATGAATGTACGACCCAAATGCAAATGGCCTGGGAGAGGGGTCACTGAGAAGTAAATGTGCACCCGGGTACAAGGACTTTGCAGATCCTCTTGTGAGCCCATCTTTGAGTGGGTGGTTACCCCCTTGGGTTTAGGAATAACTTAATCTCTCCAAGAAATGTGTATGTGGCTTCAGTGAGATAACCAGATGTGGTTTCGTGGCTGGATTGACTCCTACAGTGGTTTTCAGGAAAAAAAAAGAATATCTTGCCTCCTCACAACTTCAGCATCTGAGGTTGAGTTGGAAATCTAGTTATCCGCTCTAGAATCATTGGACCAAGAGCTGCTGATCCGAACAAGAACCAACCTTCTATCCCCAATTCTAGGAAACGTTCTAGAACATATGTTTTTAAGAGCTAGATGTAAATACTGTAGGCTCTGAGGGCCATAAGGTCTCTGTTGCAACTCCTCAGCTCTATCATCGTACCCTGAAAACAGCCTGTTTTCCTTTCCCTTCCACTTACCAGTACCTGCTTGAGTCATGCTCAATATCACCAGTTCTCACTCTTCTGTAAAAGCCTGTCCTGTGTCTGCCAGCCACAGTTTCTTGGAGAAAATAACTTACGCCCAAGCCCAAGAAGGCAGCCACCCACACGAGGCCATCCCTGCATGACTTACAGCATGATCAGTTGTGGAGGGCTTACAAAGCGCCAGACCCAGTGCCAAGCACCTGCTCTACAGATCTCATTTCATCCTCGCAATGATCACTCAAAGGGGGTATAGCAACTTTTTTGGAACATATGAAGAAACCCAGGCTAGGAGGGGTTAAGTAAATTACCAAGGATAGGGCAGAGCTAGAATTTGCCTACTTCCCACACTGCCCCTGGTTTGTCATGTTTATTCTAGAATTAGCCAGGCCAGCCTTCTTGGTGCTCCCGGACCTACACACAGTCATGTTTCCTCCAGGACCAGCTCAAGCCCACGTCTTCCATGAAACCTTTTTCCACCGTTTTCTGATCATCTAGAGCACAGATAGTCTGAACACCATAATTAAGCACCTATAGTGTCACGTCTTATAGTGATTACAAGATGTAACAATCATGGTGACTTTATGGGCATCAACATTTTCACTCCAACCTTGCTGCAAAATCCTTAAAGTAGCCCTGGGTTCGTAATAGATACTCCATACATCTGATGTGCCAATCACTGTGATAAGCCCTTTAAATATATTATCTGTAATTTTCACAAGAACACCTGGAGCAGATACTACCATTCCCCACTTGGCAACGGAGGAAGCTGAGGCTCAGTGAAGCTCGGTGCCTTGCTCCACAGCAGCCAGCTCTGGCCGACTGAAGTGGTCAGCAGTAAGGGCCTATGAGAGGAGCTGGGATGGTATATGTGAAAGGCTGCACTTTCTAAATTCTTTCCACTCAAAAGTAATTTTACTTTTACAAGCCAACTAACCCTAAGTCAAAGAAATAAAGCCGTATGGGAGAGATTCCACTGCACCCATCGATGAAGGTAGATTTATGGAAACAGAGTCCTTCTCAATTTCTTCTGAAAGTCTTTCAATCCTGCCTAAATCCATAGAAAGTCTACCAGAATGTAAAGTCAGTGGAATGTTAACCAAGGTGGCCTCTTGTGATCACGTGGATGTCCCCTAAGAACTCACCTTTGCGTCTCGGACTTCTTTCCCCAAAACCTTGGACAGAACATCAGCGTATTGCTGTATTGTTAGTTTTTCTGCACTGAGGCCCACAGCCTTGCCTAAAAATTCCTCTGGAGAATTAAAAACGCTAGAGACGGCTGGTCCAACATCAGTAACAGAGATACCGTCCATCGGTACATCCCCCATTGGTAGTGCTAGTTAAAAAAAAATAGAAAAAGATAAATAGTTAATTATATCACATCCATGGTAGGTCCCACCCACCCAAATTAATCAACCACTTAAATGAAAGGTATAGGAAGGCAATGTAAAACCCAGTGGCCACAATCCATATACAGATACAAGGTTTCATTTGAGAAATTACAGCCCGGGTGCAGTGGCTCACACCTATAATCCCAGCATTTTGAGAGGCTGAGGCAGGTGGATCACCTGAGGTCATGGGTTCAAGACCAACCTAGCCAACATGGAGAAACCCCGTCTCTACTAAAAATACAAAAATTAGCTGGGTGTGATGGCGTACACCTGTAATCTCAGCTACTCCGGTGGCTGAGGCAGGAGACTCTCTTGAACCCAGAAGGCCAAGGTTGCAGTGAGCCAAGATTGTGCCACTGCACTCCAGCCTGGGCAACAGAGAAAGACTATGTCTCAAAAAAAAAAGGGTGGGGGTGGGGGGAAAATTACTTTAGCACCTTGATACTGATTTAAAAGAGCAACCATGTATTTACTGAATATCTTCTGTGTGTAAAGTATGATTAAATGTATCTCCAGGCAAAACTTCTGCTGAATTCTAGACTCACGTGTCCTACTACTTACTCAAATCCTTACTTGATTTTCAGTGGACATCTTAAACTCAGCAGGCCCCAAACTGAACTACGCCCCCAACCTGCTTCCATACGGTCTCCCACTTCAGCTAATGGCAACCCTCTCATTCTGGTTTCTCAGGCCACAAATCTTACAGTCAGCCTTGATGCTTCTCTCCTATCCCATATCCTATTTTTTTCTTTTGAAACGCATATGCATGATATGTGCAAAGTCTGGCCACGTACTATCATCTTCAATGCTACCACCCCGGTCTAAGCCACCATCATCTGTGACTTGGATTATTGCAAAATTTGTTTCCTTGTTTCCACTCTTGCCCTTTCATAGTCTCTTTTCAACATAAAAATCAGAGTTATCCTGTAAAAATGCCAGCTCAGGCTAATGTTGCATCTGCTCAGAACCTTCTTTTTTTTTTTCTTCTTTTCTGAGACAGAGTCTCGCTGTGTCGCCTAGGCTGGAGTGCAGTAGTGCAATCCCGGCTCACTGCAACCTCCACCTCCCGGGTTCAAGTGATTCTGCTGCCTCAACCTCCCGAGTAGCTGGGATTACAGGCATCCGCCACCATGTCCAGCTAATTTTTGTGCCTTTAGTAGAGACAGGGTTTCATCATGTTGGCCAGGCTGGTCTCGAACTCCTAGCCTCAAGTGATTCACCTGCCATGGCCTCCCAAAGTGCCTGGATTATAGGCATGAGCCACCACTCCCAGTCCTGTCTGATCAGAACCTTCTGATAGCTCTCTCTGTCTCTCAGAGGAAAAGCCAGTGGCTTACAAAGCTTATACAACGAGACCTTCTGTTAGTTCTGACCTCATCTCCCACTTCCCTCCCCTCCCTCATTCTATATCAGCCACGCTGGCTATTTCCTCTTCTTAAAATGTTCTTCTCCTAAATACTCACAAAGCTCATGACCTGCCTTGTCAGAAAGTACTGAAAGAGATCCACCCAATCATCTTGTTTACATTTCACGCACCACACTCCAACTGCACTCCATTCTGGGCAATAGAAACCCAGACTCAAAAAAAGAAGTCATCTTGTCCCATTTTCCCATCAAACATGAGGAAACTGCCAGGCGTGGTGGCTCACACCTGTAATCCCAGTGTTTTGGGAGGCCAAGGTAGCTAGATCCCTTGAGTTCAGGAGTTTGAGACTAGCCTGGCCAACAGGGTCAAACCCCATATTGACTAAAAAAGGCAAAAATTAGCGAGGCGTGGTGGTGAGCATGTGTAATCCTAGCCACTCGCGAGGCTAGGCATGAGAATCACTTGACCCGGGCTGCGGAGGTTGCAGTGAGCCAAGATCGCACCACTGCACTCCAGCCTGTGTAACAGAGTGAGACTCCACCTCAAATAATAAAAATAAAAATAACCTGAGGAAACGGAGGCTGGAGGTCACGTAGCTAACTCCAGTACTTACATTAAGGAGGGTCAGTATATTAAGATTGGAAATGCAGCCCTTTGTGCTTCTGATCCCAGATCTAGTTCTCTGCCCTGGAAGAGCAGCTTAGTGTAATCGCCCAGGGTGGCATCCCTCTCAGCACTTCACACGGCACTAAACCCACAGAAGGCACTCAGATGATGGGTGTCCACCGCAAAGGGGCAAGAAGGGAGAGCGGGTGGGCAGTGAGTGGAGAGGGGGGCAACCAGTGTCTGGTGAGCTTCCGCTTCGTTTTACCCAGGGTGTAGTGATCTCCATCAGAGGCTTTCTCGGGCTTCCACGCCGTGAGAAAGTTTTCAAAGTAGGCCGCCACGCGGACACTGGTCATGGGGATGCCGAGAGACCAGAAGTACTCCTCCACCTCGCCCTTGCCATCGAAGTGTGGCACCTCCAGCTTGCCACCGGTCAGCCGCTTGACGTTCTCCAGGCCGCTGTACACCACGTGCTTCAGACCTAGGCGTTTGGCGGTGTCTGCCACCAGCTTACCCTGAGAGTCAAAAGTAAATCCTCATGGACAGCTGTATTTGCATTTGCATATAGACAAATAATCAAAGCAGGATCTCCTCCACCCACCCCACTCCCCCCCTTTTTTATTTTAGACAGAATCTAGCAATCTCTGCTCACTGCAACTTCCACCTCCCGGATTCAAATGATTCCCCTGCCTCAGCCTCCAGAGTAGCTGGGGTTACAAGTGCGCACCTGCTAGTTTTTTTGTATTTTTTAGTAGAGATGGGGTTTCGCCGTGCTGGCCAGGCTGGTCTCGAACTCCTGATCTCAAGTCATCTGCCCGCCAGGGACTCCAAAAGTGTTGGGATTACAAGCATGAGCCAGGGCGCTGGGCCCACCCTCCCATTTTTTTATTACCCTCATCCCTGTGGAGAGGAAGCTCTCCCAGTCTCAAAATATATTCAGTTTATCTTATGAGAGGCCACCACACCAGCACTGGTGAGTAGAGGATCCACTCCAAAATGCCCAAGCCCTCAGCCTGCTCCCATGGGGGTTGTAAGCGGGACACCTGAGGTGGGGGAGTAGTAGAATGAGGGAAGGGGCAGAGGAGAAAAGAACCCCAGGTACCTCCTGAAGCTAAGAAGCAACCTGGTGGGACTGGCCAGGAAGAGACGGCCTTTTCCTCCGGGGTCTCACTGTCTTTGTGGTCAACTGTAAGTGGATTTATCTATTTTCTATAACTGTGTCTAGTAATGGACTGTATCTACACACCATTTGGACATTGAAGGCATAATGGAGGCATACACACACACACACACACACACACACACACACACACGTATATATATTCTCTTTTTGTGTCTGTTTTTAGATCCAAATTTTCCAGAGCACTTTCGTCTGTCTCTTCTTTTTTCCTTTCTTTTTGCTGTTTCTTTCTTACTTTTCCTTAAAAAAACCTCGTGCAGCAGGCAGAGAAAACATAATTAACCTGAGTTAGCAGCAGAGAGGTGCCTTGCACCCCTGTTTCCTAGTAAGTGAATATCAGAATTAGAATTCAGATGTCCTAAAATAGACCCTTCCAGAGTCTATCACGAAAGCATGGGCTATGAATGGTATAATTAATTCAAGAGACATTCCTGCGACAGTTTGATCCTGCTTTCAACTTTTTGAATTGTGCCATTTATTAAGTGGCTAAAAGCATCCATTACATTTTTAAAATCGAATCCTCATTTATTCCCAAATTTATACACATGCATAGTTTAAATTTTCAAATAGCACTGTCATGGATTGGGAGGGTGTGAATCTTACAATGAAAAAGAGATTCCCACTGGGTGCAGTGGCTCATGCCTGTAATCCCAGCACTTTGGGAAGCCGAGGTGGACAGATCACCTAAGGTTGGGAGTTTGAGACCAGCCTGACTAACATGGAGAAACGCCGTCTCTACTAAAAACACAAAATTAGCCAGGCATGGTGGTGCATGCCTGTAATCCCAGCTACTTGGGAGGCTGAGGCAGGAGAATCGCTTGAATCCAGGAGGCAGAGGTTGCAGTGAGCCTTGATCGCACCATTGCACCAAACTGCAGCCTCGGCAACAAGAGTGAAACTCTGTTAAAAAAAAAAAAAAAAAAAAAAAAAAAGAATCCCCAAGAGGCTGAGGTGGGAGGATCACTTGAGCCCAGGAGTTCAGGACCAGCATGGGCAACATAGTGAGACCCTGTCTCTAAAAAAAATAAAACAAATAAAATAAAATAAGTTCCCTGTGCCCCATGCTGATTACTGTTCTCCAGAAGTAACACTTCAGTTTCATTTAGCTATTTATTTTTGTAAACATGTTTATACAATTGATTCTCAATTTTTTCAGTTTGAAATATCATCTGCTAAATTCCTACTATGAAAGATGAGGATTTAATGATCTCTCTCTCGCTCGCTTGTGCGCTCAGTTCTCTTACTTGCTCACGTCGTCCACCACCACTACACATACACACAATTCCCTTTTGAATTCGCCCAATCGTTGTTTTTGGCTAGATCAATATTCAGTGCCTGCACACAGCTGAAGCTGAGTCATGTGCTACTCTATGGTTACGTCTACTTTTTCTACAAACTTTCATTTTCCCTGCATTTAATTTATTGTGGGTTTATTTGCTTGTTGATTTCTGTTTCTGTGTACCCAGTCCCAAATTATCTATCTGAAGTGTAAATGTACTCATTACATCTTTATTCTCTCCATTTCACTCTCAGACGAACCTCAAATTTGGGGGTACCCTTGCTACCACCCCCATGCCATCTACAAACAAATGGTGAGAAGTGGAAGACCTAATGCCTAGCTTCATTAAACGATCATTCTAGAATATTCAAGGTCTTAAAAAGATACCTTTAACAAGTACTTAAAGTATATGTTTTTCATAGATGCCGAAAGGATGTAAGACATATATTTGCCCCGATTGAAGGCCTGTCCCCTTCTGGGAAGGAAAGCAGCAGCTGGGGAGGGTAAGAGGAAAGGGCTCAAAGGGAAAAAAGAAGCAAATTGGTTTCTACCTGTTGTACTTCCTTATCTTTGTTGAAAGTTTCCCAGAAGTTGGTCACCAAGAAGGCCCCATAGGCACCTTTTAAGGCATCATCCACGGATGCTTTATCATCCAGGTCACCTTTTACCACCTCAGCTCCAAGGTCCCGGAGCGCCCGGGCATTTGGCTTAGTCACATCTCTGGTCACTGCTCTCACGGCAAATTTTTTGCTCTCCAAAATTGCCCTGGCCACAGAGCCACCTTGAGCTCCTGCGGGGTCAAGGAAAGAAGAAACACGGGAAGGATGAGAAAGAATGTTCACTGAAAGAAGCTGATCAGAAATCCCACGACGCAGAGCAGAGCTGTTGCAGTGGTTCCTTCAGCGGGTGCTGCATGGCACTTCACATATCCACGTGGCTTTCAAACTAAGTTCTTTGTGGCTTCTTCAGAGGCATTTTTGCAGAGGGCATGGGAAGAGAGGAATGGGAGAAGCTTGAGGCAACAAGAAGGGCAAGTGAGCAGGGTGTCAAAATCAGGGATGCCCGCAGTCCTCCAGATTCAACAAGAGCAATTATTCTACTTTTACCTGGTTATAGATCTGATATTGTGGTTATTTAGACAGTTTGACAAAAGAGGTTCCTGGGCTTTCTCTCTAGATAGATAGATAGATAGATAGATAGATAGATAGGTAGATAAAATGCAGGTGGGTTGAACATTTTACCCTATTAAACCTAAACACCGGCCGGGCGCAGTGGCTCACGCCTGTAATCCCAGCACTTTGGGAGGCCGAGGCGGGTGGATCACGAGGTCAAGAGATTGAGACCATCCTGGTCAACACGGTGAAACCCCGTCTCTACAAAAACTACAAAAAATCAGCTGGGCATGGTGGCGCATGCCTGTAATCCCAGCTACTCGGGAGGCTGAGGCAGGAGAATCGCCTGAACCCAGGAGGCAGAGGTTGCAGTGAGCCTTGATCGCACCATTGCACCGAACTGCAGCCTCCGCAACAAGAGTGAAACTCCGTCTCAAAAAAAAAAAAAAGAAAAATTCAAATAACACACACATATGTAGGCAATCAGAAATGCCAAAATGCTAAAATGAATGTACAATTACGGACAAAACCAGTCAATATCCACTGGGCAATCATCAACTGTGGTCCACCAGACACAATTCATTTGCATTTCTATGGATAAGAATCAGTTGCATTATTATCTATTTGCCACAATGTATGGAGTTATAACTATCTTTAAAACAAGGAAAGGCTCACAAAAAACGAGAATGGTGCCCTGGGCAAGGATACCCAGCAATCTTTTTTTCCCATTTCAAAGTCTTTCACAGTGTTCCTTGAAAAGATGATATCAACAGGATTTTGTTGATTAATTAGATGTGGTGATGATGAACAGGGAGGATTGAGAAAGAAAAGTCAGGTGTGTCCAGTGAAGGTGGAAGCCCCTTGTAAAACCACCAGATCTCATGAGAACTAACTCACTATTGATACAAACACAAGACAGCGAAATACTGGGTAGAAGAGGGTTTCTGGCAAAAGCTCTACCCTCAAGCCTGGATACTCGCTGCCCTAAGTAAGAATAGGCATTCCTGTTTTTGCATCCGAAAAGCTGCCTTTGGCATGCCATGCCCCCTGTCCTGTACCCATATAAACCCTGAATCCCAGACTCCAGAAGCAGACAAGGAGATGAGGAGACGAACAGACAGCAGAGTGGCATGGCGGAGGAGAGAACAGAAGGAACATCAGGAGAAGTTGGCTGGGGATGTTCAGAGAATCGGCCACCGGACAGCCGGACTCCAGGGGAAGATCATATTACTACTCCATCCCCTGTCTAGTTCCCCATCCATCCCACTGAGAGCCACCACTCACCACTCAAAAACCCCTGCATGCATCCTTCCTGTGTGACCCAATTCTTCTGGGACGCTGGGTGAGAGCTTGGGATACAGAAAGATGTCACACTAGCCCCCTTCTTCTGCAAAGAGGCAGAGGGTTCACTGAGCTGGTTAACCCTTAAGCCATGCGCAGATGGCAAGGCTAAAAGAACACACTGTAACACACGCACACTTGCACTTTGGAAGTTACAGACACTCAACCCTTGATGCTGCCATGGGACCAGAGCCCAAAACCACTTGCCCCAGTTCCTGCTCCTGCCTGTTTGCATGCTCCCCCTCCCTTAAAGGGTTTGAGCTTGCAGTGGCAGAACAGAGAGTCACACCCCTGTTGCACATCATGTGGCAGGGGGCCAGGGAACTCTCCCATTTCACTATTACGAGAACAGGATGGGGAAAACCGCCCCCAACATTCAACTCTCCACCTGGTCACTCTTATAACATGTGGGGGTTATGGGAACTACAATTCAGCATTAAATTTGGGTGGGGACACAGCCAAACCGTATCAGGAACTGACGGAGACCATTCTAGGTTAAAGAAGCACCCAATACAAAGACTTTGGGGTGGGAGCGTTTTGGAGGAACAGCAAGAAAGCCAGGGTAAGGAAGCAGAATGAGGAAAGTGGCAGGAAGAGAGGTCTGACAAGGCATTCCCAAGGCCCTGTGGCAGGGCAGTAGCAGGACTTTGCATTTTACTTGGAGCGCCAGGGGTCTGGGAGATTTCAGAAGGTTTTGAGCAGAGGTGTGACATGATCTGACAGTTTCCAGTGGATCCTTGAAAGGCTGAAATGAGAATAGATTGAAGGAGAATCACCTGGTTTGATTTACATTTCACAAAGATGGCTCTGACCGTTGAGGAACAAAGTGTAAGGGAGACAGGAATGCAACCTCCCCACACACTCCAACCTTGCAGAAGCCCTGGAAGATTGGTCAGGCCTTGGAGACTCACTACAAACCCACAGGCCTCTCACACTCATACCTTTTGCTTATTAGGAAGTGGAGAAAAGACTTCGGAGTATAGGTTATGTGGAAATGAAACTTATACCAACAAGTGAGCCCCATGATTGGGAAAGGGAGATTATGTCAGTGTCCTCGTCCTGCTGAGATCAAGTTATAAATCAAGTTAAATCATGCCGCCCCTTTACCACATCAAAAACTAAAGCAATAAGATACTTTAAAACTTTTCTTCCAAAAGGCTCTTTGTTCCGCCCACACTTGCAGGCTCTGAAGTTAAAAACAAGAAGACAGGAGAGTGAGCAAAGTAAGCATGCCCTAAAAATTAAAGACGTTTTTACCTGTTGCTCCAAACACTGTAATGACTTCCTTGCTGGCCATGTTACTGAGAAAAGAGGGGGTTGGTGGAGTAGAAGAACTTTCCTTGAAGGAGTGACAGCAGCTGAAATGCTGTGTTTCTTCTCAAGGGAGAGTTATAAACCCACTCCAATTCCTCCAATTACCATATCAGTTATAGTGCCCCTCCTTTTTCCTGTTACCACTAGCCTGCTTATTCACTCTGACACTGCAATTTTCTTTGTCTTTTTTTTTTTTTTCTGAGATGGAGTTTTGCTCTTGTTGCCCAGGCTGAAGTGCAATGTCATGTTCTCAGCTCACGGCAACCTCCGCCCCCGCAGTTTCAAGCCATTCTCCCGTCTGTCTTCCAAGTAGCTGGGATTACAAGCGTGTGCCACCATGCCTGGCTAATTTTTTTTGTATTTTTAGTAGAGATGGGGTTTCACCATGTTGGCCAGGCTAGTCTTGAACTCCTGACCTCAGGTGGTCGGCCTGCCTTGTCCTCCCAAAGTGCTGGGATTATAGGCATGAGCCACCATGCCTGGCCAACACTGCTATTTTCTTTTTCTTTTCTTTCTTTTTTATTTTTGGAATGGAGTTTCACTCTTGTTGCCCAGGTTGGAGTGGTGCAATCTTGGCTCACCACAACCTTCACCTCATGGGTTCAAGCAATTCTCCTGCCTCAGCCTCACAGTAGCTGGAATTACAGCTGTTAGAAGTAAAATGCTTGGTGCCTCAAAGTGAAACCAGCACTTCGGCAAAAGTTTTCCCAGTAAGGCAATTACTTCTATAGAAAGGTGCATCATACGGATGGAGCAATGGTGAGAGCACACCTGGACAAGGGTGGGGAAGGGTTTGTTGCTTTTAATGCAGGGTCCCTACCTTTGCGTTACTTTCCTATGGGCTGGGGTCAGACCACACAATCTAAACTGACCCAGCTGACTATTGGTGAATATTTTCCCAAATAAGGAAGGGAAGAGGGATGTGTGAGTCACAATGGTGGAACATGCAGTTTCGAAGCATGGAATAGGTGCAGAGTGGTTAACCAAGGCAACAGATGTGGGTTATTGATTAGAGCTGGCAGGCATGCTGTTTACAGTAACTAGAGGCAAGGAGGCATGGAGAACAAGAAAGTTGAGTTTAAGAAAAAAGAACAAGGGAGTTAACAGGCTGAACCTTTGAAGAGAAATTCACTGTATCTTGCAACTCTGCCCTTTTAATTTTTTAATAATCTTTCTTTTTAAAAAATCTTTTTAAAAGTTTTGGCTTTGCTGTTTGACTTGATCCTTTAAAAGGAAACGCTTACTTGAATAGGGTGGAGAGCTAAGGGAAATTTCAGTAAGTGCTGTTTTTATAAGTTTTTGTATTAGACCACGGATATATGATATGACACAACACCCAACAAGAATGAGTATACCTATTATGTCTGCAAGAGAAGTATGAATTGAGGCTATGATTTCTTTTTATTTACCAAACCACCTTTTTAGTCATTTTGAAAATGTGTCATTGATTTTAGAATATTTAGTCAATTTATCGGATAAAGCGGTACGTCCTTGTAAGGCCTTTGTTATGTTTCCATTGGGGGCAGTATTGTTTGGGATGAAGGTACAACATTGAATTTTTTGCTTTTTGGGTTTTTTTTTTTTTTTTTTTTTTTTGAGAGAGAGTGTCACTCTATCGGCGGGGGGGGGGGGAATGGAGGGATCTTGGCTCACTGCAACCTCCACCTCCCAGGTTCAAGCAATTCTCTGCCTCAGCCTCCCAAGTAACTGGGATTACTGGCGCCCACCACCACACCAGGCTAATTTTGTATTTTTAGTAGAGACAGAGTTTCACCATCTTGGCCAGACTGGTCTTGAACTCCTAACCTCATGACCACCTGCCTCGACCTCCCAAGGTGCTGGGATTACAGACGTGAGCCACTGTGCCTGGCCACAACATTGAGTTTTAATTATAACATAAACTTCACCTTTTTTTACTAATATTATGTTGAGGGCTGTTTTGCTTTTCTAAGCGATTTGGCTAGTAGGCCCTAATTGGTCAGCTATTTCTTTGATAGCATTTCTGGTGTAATTAACAAACTGCTGTTGATTATAATAGATGTAATTTATTTAGTTTACACTTTTATTAATAGTTACCTATGGAAATATTCATTTAAATCCTGTAGCTATTTGGTCCCAGGCTTTGAATTTATTAGGTTACACCCCCATGGGACTCCAATTGTGTTTAAATAAACTTGGGAGTTATAAGATCCATAAGGGGCTTCTCTTATTTTACAGTATTGTGTTTGTTTTCTCCCTCTGGTTGATGAAATGCCAGGGTGAAAGTGATAGCCAATTGACAACAGCACAAATGCCACTCCAGTTACTTGGCAGAGTGTCCGGTAAGAGTTCACCACAATATCACCTTACATCGGCTCAAGGATGGCTAAGGGCGGACTGATGGGGAAGTTTCTGGAACGGCCTAAGCTCACTGCATCCTGTTAAGTTTCCAAGGAACGTTAAGTTTTTCCTTTGTTATGAGAGACACGAGGTGAAATTGACTTTGGGAGACGGAAGCTGGGTGGCCCTCGGGGGCTGACCCTCAGAGTGTTGGACTTTGGGATAGAGCAGAGAGAGAGCTTGGCATGACTTATTGCCCTAAGCTGTAGAATCTTGGAAGAGAGCTACCATGTAACCCATGCCTGGTCGACTGGAGGACCATTTGAGTGGAAAGCGGACAATTTGGGCCTCTGGCTGACCGTGTGCACAGCATAACGGTTGCTTTTGTTTAAACTGCGGATGGAATATTTGATCCATTTTAACCAGGCATTTGTATCTGGATATTTTGTTTTAACCGTTGGAGTTTGTCTTAAATTATTTATTTTTACAATATTTACTTTGGCATTGTCATGGGGCAGGGTAGAAGGTTTAGACGGAGAGGGAGAAGGGGGGCAATAAAACGCATTTCAAAGAAGCCTAGAGGGTTGTAACTATTGGCCTCTAGTCCTAAGCTGTAAAAGTGCTCTAAAGGGGTGCAGGGTTGATGGAGGTAGGAGTTTTAATGGAAATGATTACTGGGTTACAATGGTGAGACTGACAGTTAGAGGGTGTGGTTCCATTAGTAAAGTGGAGTAAGATTTCAGGCCAGTAGAGCCCTCTGGGGGGGTCCAGCCCTGGTCTCTGGTAGTGCAGATGACATCTGCTCATTGAGAACGTAACTCCCAACTTGGGGTGTCCGCCGTGAGCAAGGGTGCAAGGTTAGTGGCTTCTCTGGAGAGGTAGAGGTATTTTTCTAAAGTAGAGATTTGTCTTTGCCATTGTAAGTCTTCATAAGGTATATAACAAGGCAAGCATCAAAGATAATGATTGCAGGTGAGTCTGACCTAGTTACATTGACAAGTTGGCCAGCAATAGAATGAGAAAAGAAAAAAGAGTAATAGAATAGATAAAAGAGAGTTAAACTTTTCCTAACTTTAGTTTTTGGGGGGGTTCCTCGGGGTAATGGCCCGTGACTGTGGAGGTGGCAGTGCTTTCTTGACTTAGGTGTGATGGGTCCATCTTGCTGTCTGGATTGTGGTTTCAGCGGTTAGAAGCACCAGGTAAGGTCCTTTCCAGGCCAGTTCAAGTTTTTCTTCTCTCCAACCTTTAATGCTCTGGGAACTGCAGGGACGGCGCTTATGCTAGAAGACCTTTGGTTTTAAGAGAAGAGAAAGTAGAAGATGGGCCAAGGTAGTTTATACACAGCATTATTTGTATTGACAAGAACTGGAGATAACCTAAGTATCAACCATTAGGAGATTAGTTAAATAAGCTGTGGCAGAGCCATAAGACAGAGTGATATCATTCTCCATTAACAAAAACAAAAAAAGATATAGATCTCCATTTAATATTATATTTTGCAGGAATTTTTATAATGTGGGACATGCTTGCAATGCAAAGTTACATGGAATAAGTGAAATAGGAGTTAAAAAAATTATTTACGCAGATAGTGAAGGTAAGGAAGTCCTCAGTAATGTTTTCTTTTTCATGATAAGCAGCCCCAACCTCATTTTCTTCTCTAACAAAGCGTAGCCTGTAAAATCCCACTGCAGACATAGACAAGCAAGCTGGAAGCTTGCATGGGTGAATGACGGCAGTTGTGCCAATAGGAAAAGGCTACTGAGACTAAGCATGATCAAAATGGTGGCTCCATCTTCCCTTCTCTTTGCCAGCCACGTGCACAATAAGCAGCAGACAAGATGGCGCTGGCCCAGTGGAAAGCCCATTTGTATAATAAGATTAGGGTGGGATGGCCAGCCTTCCCCACATGCTATGTAAATGTCACACCTGGTCAAACCAATCCACGTGACCTACATAAATCAAACACCACCTCCTCAAGCCTACCTCTAAAATCTGCTGCAGTCCACCACAGGCCCACTTTTCTGTTTCAGATGCCCCTCTGTCTCATAAGAGAGAGTGAGCTGCTGTCCTTTCTCTTTCTTTTGCCTATTAAACCTCTGCTCCTAAACTCACACTTTGAGTGTGCCATGTCTTTAATCTTCTTGCTGCGAGACAACAAACCCTGAGTATTTACCCCAGACAGTGAAGCAGCTTCATCAGCAGTATAGAGAACTTCATATATAATGTGATTCAAAGATGTAAAGGAAAAAAATCT